TGGCTTCCCATAAGTATTTGAACAGCTATTCTGAGAATGCTAATTTATTATATCTTCAAGCTGAGCCCTTACAGTAATTTGTACATAGGCAAGAGAACGAGTATCTAATTCTGTTCTGACCCAACCCTGTTACCAGCAAGAAAATCTCAAACAAAGATTTAGCAACTCAAACCTTCACAGCTTTAATCTACAAATAAACTTCTTTGTAAATAAAAGATGGCTTGCAACCAATTAGTCCAACCAGAAAAACCTTGACAGAATTCTTCAAATAAGCCGGAGTTTCTACACATAGTGCTGGGTCCTTAGAGCGTTTTTGCCTTCTTGCAAAGGCAAAAACCTTTTGAAACCAGGCTTATATTCCCTGGAGGGAGGGGCCATTACGTTGCATCCTTACTCCTGAGTCGCCTGTGCTGCTCCAGCTGTTCTCTTCTACAAATCATCCTGCGCTCATGCGCGCTTGGCATAGGCTCCTCGGGAACCTCCTCATCACTGCTGCCAGCCCCCACCATCTCTGAAGGCAGCAGTCCGCTCCTTGATGATCTTGGCCCATCATCAGAGTCCTTGGTCTCCTCAACCATCTGCACCTGCTGCCAGCTAACCACAACAAATTCTAGGAAGATGAACTGGACACATCAAGCTTGTCTCATGGACGATCTTCTCAATTTCTCCTTTTCTCAATGTTATTTCTTCAATTCTTCTCTAAAATCTTACGGACTAGAAACTTGTTGTAATCTTCCTTTTTCATGCAAGTAGAACATTCTAGGACACTGGCATTTATTTCTTTTTCTTTTGATTTTGCTGATGAAGAAACCCGCAGTATCTCCTTTGCTTCTTGCATTCCACTGGCTTTCCAAATTATAGTTCTTAATTGGACTGCTTGATTGCAAACCTCTCTGGTGTGAATGTATGAATGTAAAAAAAGGGGAAGCCCTAGATTTTTTGGAAAGTTTGATTATGTCTGGAGCAATATATATGTACGATGAAGTCTTATCTATAGCTCTTCAGTCCCATTCTGTCCCTTTATTCCTACCCCATTATTTTGTTCTTTTGCTATAAGGGTTCAGTCTAGATTAACGTTTCCTAACCATGCCTACTTTTAAGATGTGTGGACTTCATCTCCCATAATTCCTCAGCCATTATATATGCCATGTTGGCTGAGGAATTCTGGGAGTGGAAGTCCACACATCTTAAAATAGTCAAGGTTGGGAAACACTGATCTGGACCTCTGACAATCAAGAGAACTATACCTGTTGCTAACTTCTTCTGAGGTAAATGTCTATGGAGGTAATTCCTCCATAGAGAATTTCTTCTGAGGTAATTCCTCTTAGATGAAGCAGTCTTTTCTACCATTCCTATTGCAGAAGACCTCTTGGCTGCCCTGCAACCTTCTTAACTAAGTAGTTAATCCTTAACTAATCTGGACCTCTATTTCTCTTACCTCAGTCCCAGGACACAACTGCTGTTCCAGTCACTGAATAATTCTTCTCTATTCTGGGTTCAGCCATTTGCCGCCACTCTTTCTTCTACTCCCAAAACGATCTTGTTGTAACAATTGCAAGGCCCTCTCTACCCTTGCACAAGGAGGAGACGGTTGCTATGACTTCAATGAAAGAAACCCTGTGCTGGTGTGTTGGTTACATCAGGGAGCCATTAACGCCTGACCCCTTCTGGTCCATCAATTTCCCCCAACACGCAGGTTTCCTTGTTCAGCCAATTCTCCCACAATGCTGCCCCGCTGTCAACCATTTGAGGTGGGCGAGGTCAGGAAACGGGGATCCATGGGAGTCTTGCAATGTCCTTTAATGCAGCTGGGGCACTAATAGACTCTTGAAAGCCTGTCAGAGCCCCCACCCCCCTTTCGTTTCATACTCAACACAATCTAGGTGGAGTTGTGTTTTAAGTTTCTTCCTCAAGCTTTCTGTTTTCCCAAGATGCAGACATCCTTTTTATAGACTCTTAACATTTCCCTCCACTTTCTCTCAGTCAAACCCATGTTCCTTTACATACTTTTCAGTTCTGTTAAGTAGCTCCTTGTAAGCAAGATTTTGCCGGCTTTCCTTCTCTTCAAGGGAAGTGCAGATTTCAGATCTCTTCAAAGCAGAGGGAAGTGGCCTTCTAGATTTATTTATTTATTTGCTTGTTTATTTATTTCTTTGTCAAGCAAGTATTAGATAACAGGTATAAGTAAAAGCATGATGATGAATGCATTTAATGGATACGAATAAGAAAGAAACAATAGGACAGGGACGGTAGGCACGTTGGTGCACTTATGCACACCCCCTACAGACCTCTTAGGAAAGGGGTGAGGTCAATAGTAGACAGTCTAAGGTTAAAGTTTTTGGGGTTTGGGGAAGAAACTACAGAGTCGGGTAGAGTATTTCAGACATTAACCACTCTGTTGCTGAAGTCGTATTTCCTGCAATCAAGTTTGGTGCGGTTTACCTTGAGTTTGTATCTATTGTGTGCTCTTGTATTGTTATGGTTGAAGCTGAAGTATTCATTGACAGGTAGGACATTGCAGTAGATAATTTTATGTACTATACTTAGATTGGACCAAAGGCAGCGGAGTTCTAGGTTGTCTAGGTCTAGAATTTCGAGTCTGGTGGCATAAGGTATTCTGCAACGAGTAGAGGAGTGGAGAACTCTTCTCGTGAAATATTTCTGGACTTTCTCGACTGTATCCAATATGTAATGCGGATTCCAGACAGATGAGCTGTATTCAAGTATTGGTCTAGCAAATGTTTTGTATGCTCTAGTTAGTAGTGTGATATTACCGGAGAAAAAGCTTTGCAGGATTAGGTTAAAGCGGTAGCGAACGTGCGTGTTCACGGATCATTCTCTTCTAAGTTAGCTGAAGTTGACTGTGAAGGTCCCTCTTCATTCCTGGCATGGATTTTTTTTCTTTATAGACAAATTCACATCTCCTCCAGAATTATCCTAGGAAAAAGGCTGCCAACAGATTCCTGGTCTTGGCATGTGGGAAGTCAGAATGGATGTCCTCTGATAACTAACATCAGTTACTATTAGTCACAGTGCCTATGTGGAGATTCAACGTTCAGGATTCAGGAGAGCAGGGATGGAGAATTTCAGGGGAATATCCCATTAACCATTATGACCAATTGCTGGCAATCCGTTACCTAAGCCCTGTCAGTTATGTTTTTGGATAAACCATTGGACAAAAAATTAAAAAGCTTTTTATTCTCATTTGTATGTTATAACCTTGAAAAGTCCAGGAGTCAATAAATACAAAGCTACTTCAGGTAGTCCTTGACTTAACCACTGTTAACAGACTGAGTTGGAAGAGACCTTGGAGGTCTTCTAGCCCAACCCCCCTACACCACTTCAGACAAAGGGTTATCCAACCTCTTCTTAAAATCTTCCAGTGTTGGAGCATTCACAACTTCTGGAGGCAAGTTGTGTCACTGATTAATTGATCTAAATGTCAGGAAATTTCTCCTTAGTTCTAAGTTCACTTAGTGACCTTTCAAAGTTACAGCGGCACTGGAAAAAAGTGACTTACGATCGTTTTTCACACTTTTACGACCATTGCAACATTTCCCCCATGGTCACATGATCAAAATTTGGATGCTTGACAACTGGTTCATAAATTTATGACAGTTGCGGTATCCCGGGGCCAAGTGAACAGTTTTTGTGACCTTCTGACAAGCAAAGTCAATGGGGGAGCTAGATTCACTTAACAACCTTGTTACTAACTTAAACACTGCAATGATTCATTTAACAACTGTGGCAAGAAAGTTGTAAAATGGGGAAAACTCACCTAACAAAAAACTCACCCAACACTTAGCAACATAAATGTTGGGCTCAGTTGTCGTAAGTCGAGGACTAACTGTACTTGCATCTTAAATCACTGAATCACCATGACCAGATTATCCAGGCAGTGGTCTGGACTCAATAAAAAATTTGAAAGCACATTGCTTTCCTGCTTTTGTCAGAAATGGCAATATTGTAGGATAGCAAGGGGAGGTGTGTGAAGGTGGCACCTGCTAAAAATGGAAGACCATTGATTTATCTGTACTATAGTTGCCTTTTCAAATTAATAATCTGGATTGTTCCTTGTTACATACAAATGACCCTTCAGGTAAGGCATCCAGTATTACCATAAATCAGGTTTGTCACCTCCAATTGAAATAAATATTCTGAAGGATCGTGTTTTGTTTTGTTTTTTAAATGCTCTCCTTGTGAGCTTGCTATTGCACAATCGACGCTTCTGGGTTTCTTTTGGCTTTCCTTCATCCAAATTGCCCGGCTTGTATTATGATTTAATACTAACACAGTCTACCAACCGGCTCTGCCTCCTGGAACAGCAGGAAGAATGTAGATGACAGATTTTGAAAAGTATCTTGTTGGAAGATTAAGATCCGCACCCTCTGAAGAGTTCTCCACTTTACTGCCACCAAATCACCTTCTTTCCTTAAATTCTGTGTTTGTTTGTTTTTTGCCTTCCACCTACTCAGATGCCTGCTTTTACAATCCAAGCCCTGTCTGGAAAGGGCTGTTGTTTCCCAGAAAATGGGGGATATTGCTTCAGGTTGGGAGCTCTCCTCTGGCTGGGAAGGGCCAGAAAGCTCAGCTTGTGCCCTACAGAACATGAGCAATTGGGGGAGGGGCTTGTAGGACACAGCGTGGGTATGCACTTGTAGGGACACAGCATCCATTTCTTGGGCTCTTAAGCATGATGGCTATTGGATCTTGCAGCTCCAAAATGACCACTGCCTGGTTTGGCTCAATTCACCTGCTTTGAACTAGAGTACTTTTCTTTGGCATGTCTTTCACTCTTACAGGGAAGCTTCATGGGCTCTGTGGTCCTCCATCTCTCTCTCTCTCTCTCTCTCTCTTTTTTTTAAATGCCCCCCTGCCTGACAGTTTGCATTGCCGTGTAACTTTTTTAAGGTGCTAAAACCGCCAGTGAACCTTTTTTTTTTAGCAGAAGACCTGAACGAAGCCACTGATTTGCATCATCTCCTCTCTCTCTGCTTCAGATCAACTGACCTTTCTCTTCCCGGATCCTCCATCTCCACCGACTTTGGCAGCTGGCAGATGGTAACAGGGAGCGGCAGTATACAGGAGCAGACTGACTCCTCTTCTCTTTGCAGCTTCCCAGATGAGCTCCCTAACAGTTCCTTGTAAGTGCTTGAGATCTGTGAATGGAAGGACCCTGCTTTGCATGTTGGAGGTCTCTGGTTCAGTCCCAGGCATCCTAGAATTAAAAGAACCGGTCCAGACAAATGCATCTTCCTAAGATCCTCAGGAGCCACTTACCCGGTCAAGTCTGATATAATCAATCTAGGCTTGCTGGCTCCTTGGTCATAAGTGAAGGGTTTCTTACAAATCCCTGCCTGGGAAAACCATGGCTTGGCTGGCAACCCGATTGGCTTTTCCTCAAGTCGTGGGGCCAGATATACGTAGCTCATGTGATCCTCAGATACCTGTGGACTTTTTTACATCCATCAAAATACTTTTTTTTTTTTTTGCAAAGCGTTGCGTACCGTAAGTAGACCTTGGAGGCTTGGATCCTACCTGTCAAATTCAAATTCTGTCCCTCCAAGCCCCACTAGGGGCACACCCACCAACTGCTGTGCACTTCTTACCCATTTATTTTCCAGCGTGGGCTTTTTATTAACTTAGCCTTCCTCATTATTAACGTCTTCCATGGAGCCCTTGAGATCGCGAGCCTCCTTTCAAGGATTTAATTTGTTGAAGCTGCATTCTTTGAGCTAAAGTATTCCCTTGGATTATTTTCTAAGGTGATCTCTTCTTAGGCGTAGGGATTCTCTTTTCTTTTCTTTTTTCCTTCCTTTCTTTCCAGTGTCCTTCACAAAGTCAGCAAAAGGATAAGCAGTCAGTTAAAATCTTGTTTCCTTTCTATTCTTACAATCCAATCCTATGTATTTCGGCTGTTGTAGCCACTGTGCTCCAAAAGGAGAGATATCCCCCACATTATCTGTTAATAAATGTATCTCATTTTGAAAGATAATGTTCTAAGTGCCAGGCCAGGACGAGTGTTGTGAGATGGCCAACTGTTCTTGCCTCTTTAGAGGGCAACTTGGCCACTCATTCCCCCTTTGCAAATAGCCATCTGCGTGCTAAAAGACGCTCGGGAAGTACATTTGAGAAAAAGCATCTATCACACCAACACAGGCTAGGCTTTGTTCTTTACCAGCCCATCATCACAAAGCCTCTCTTGACCGTTGCTCACCATCTACCTTTGGAGCATCTCACCAGCGTTAGTTAAATCGCGCTCCTTTGTCAGAGTAGATTCATGAACTGGAATAGGGCATGGTAACAAGGTCAGCCAATGAATGGGCATAGCAACTAAAGTCAGCCAATGAGAAGTGCTTGGAAACTGAAACTAGAAGTAGCCTAGGCGGGGCTCTATATTAAGCTCGGAGTCTGTCTATTGAAGATGAAACTAACTTGCTTGCCTGCCTGCCTGCCTGCCTGCCTGCTGAACTAAAGTGAAACTGATGTCTGTTTCTTAACTCCTGAGTAGCTCCTGAAGTTACTTGCAACATGTTTCTGTCTGAGTTTGCTCCATGTTGGAGAAATCTACAGCTGGTTTGTAAAATCTACTTATTATGTTTATAAAGATGTTAAATGAAGCATCAGCCATCCGTGTTTATTTTTCTGGCGCTGAATCAATGCTGCAAAACCCTGAATATCCTTTTTTTTTTTCTCATACTGCAATTTCTGTCCCCTCCACGGGAAGGAATTGTGCGAAGGTAATGAGTTGGAACTGCCTGCAGAACCTCTAGTGCCCTATCGTCCATGGTTCTTCATTCTACAACCGCACACAAAAAAATTGGGGCCTCTTTCTCAAATGTTGATCTTTCAATCACAGGTAGTCCTCCACTTAGGACCACAATTGAGCCTGAATTTTCTTTTACTGAGCAAGGCAGTTGTTAAGTGAGCTTTGCCCCCATTTTACGGCCTTTCTTGCCACCGTTGTTGCTAAGTGTATCTTTGCAGTTGCTAAGTCAGTAACACGGTTAAGTGAATCTGCCTTTCCCATTGGCTTTGCTTGTCAGACGGTCGCTAACGGTGATTGCGTGACTCTGGGACAAAGCAACGGTCATAAATATGAGCCAGTTGCCAAGCATCTGAATTTTGATCACCTGACCATGGGGTTGTAAGTGTGAAAGTCACTTTTTTCAGTGCCGTTGTAATTTCTGACAATCACTAAATGGATGGTTGTAAGTTGAGGAACACCCCCCACACACACCCCGAAATCCCTAGGTAAGTAGAAGCTAACATAATCTATAGGCGGTACAAAGAAAAACACCTCATCTTTCTGCAAATCTGAATGCATGCTCACTGTTTGTGTGCCGTATACAGATTCAGAGTAAGAAAATAGCAGTAGTACTTAGACTTATATACCGCTTCACAGTGCTTTACAGCCCCCTCTAAGTGGTTCACAGAGTCAGCCTATTGCCCCCAGCAATCTGGCTCCTCGTTTACTGACTTCGGAAGGATGGAAGGCTGAGTCCGGTGAGATTCGAAATGCCAAATTGCTGTCATTTGGCAGAAGTAGCCCACAGTACTGCATTCTAACCACTGCGACACCCTTCCAGTTGATTCAGTGGTACGTTTTAAACTGTTACTGAGAAAGCCCAAATACGTGACTGATTCATGAAGCCTATTATTAGCCAAAAACAATGATAGTTCCATAAGCGAGCCAAATTCTCCGAAACTTCTGTCCCCTCAGTTTGCAATTGCTGCTCTGTCTACTGTCTGCTACTATGAGTTTCCTTAAGTAGCTGTTTGAGCATTTGAAAATGAAGGAACTCACCCTTACAAAATAGGGGCTGGTTATAAGAAAAACATCTAAATGCTTCAGCTGGCAGTTTCAATGAGAGAAGTGTGTTTAGGAAACGGGAGTTAGGTGGAACTGCAGAAATCAAGGCAATATATAGAACATCAAGAAAGACATCTGCTAGAAGTGCTCCCAAACTGGCCATATCTGCAAAGCTGAACCAACAAGTGACTGCAAAAAAACCCGCTGACGCTGGGATAGATGTCAACAAGTCCACATTTTACAGCATTACCTATACAGTGCAATGATCTACGCAGGAGAGTTTTGAGAAGGAAACTTTCTCCCCAACTTCATCATAAATAGAATTGTCTAAAGCACGCAGGAGGCAATCTTGATAAAACCTTGTACCCATGAAGTTACCATCAATCAGAATAGATCTGGAAGGGACTTTGGAGGTCTTCTAGTCCAACCCACTGCTCAAGCAGGAGACCCTATACCAGTGATGGCTAACCTATGACACACGTGTCACTCGTGACACGCCGAGGCACTTTGACTGACACACCTGTTGGTGTGGGGAAAACCTGCACATTTAGAGGCTGCCTGTGCTCAGCTCCAATCCCTGCTCCCTGCTTGTTGCGTGGAGGCGTGGTGTCACCGCTGCCACAAGATCTTTGCAGCAGAGAACCAGTTTTAACTGCCATAAACTGAGGTTTGTCAGTTTCATTACCTCAGGAATGCTACAGGAGGAAAAGAGATCCATGAGGTTCACAGCCCTGTAAGGTGGCCTTCCGATCCCCACATCCTGCACCTGCAGCCCTGAGACCAGGGAGACGAGTTTCACAGCCCTGTGTGATCACCCCAGCCCAGTCCATCATAAACCAAATTATTGATATTTCTTGAAGTGACACACGACCCGAGGAAGGCTATACTTTTTCCCGATTTTCGACACACCAAGCTGAAAAGGTTAGCCATCACTGCCCTATACCATTCCAGACAAATGGTTATCCAATCTCTTCTTAAAAACCTCCAATGATGAAACACCCACAACTTCTGAAGGTAAGCCATTCCACTGGTTAATGGTCCTTACTGTTAGGAAGTTTTTAATTCCAGGTTGCTTCTCTCCTTGATTAGCTTCCATCCATTCTTTCTTGTCCTGCCCTCTGGTGCTTTGGAAAATAAATTAATAAAATAAATAAATTAATCAAATTGTGATAGCCTCTCAAATACTGCCGTCATGTCCCTTCATTACCCTTTTGATAATGAAATGTCTGCAGCAACCAACCAAGCTCAGAAAGCAGCACGGACCCCACAAGCCAACCCTGACCCACAATTAACCTTCTCTATATCCAAACCTTGATAAGTCCGAAATGTTTTAGAATAAAATGATTGGATTGATGAAACAATAATATGCCCATAGCCATACCCAATATTCTTGCAGGAAAAAAGGATGAAGAATTTGTCAGTTGTTGGGCATGGGGCTGTATGCCCAACAACTTTGAGGTGGCACAAGAAATACCATATGGGTGGAAGGATGAATAGAGTCATCTAAATGTCAGCATATTCTATCCTAAGAAACTACTATCTTATGGCCAGTGTAGAAATTAAAGATGTTGGGTACTTCAGCAAAGGAATGATCTGAAACGTATCTACAAAGGTGTTTGAATGGTCTTCACAGTCCCCAGACCTGAACAGGGCTGAAAGTCTGTGGAGACGTCCCAAACATGCATTGAACGCAAAGTGACCTAGGAAAATGTCCTTTTTTTTTTTTTTTGGAAGAGTTCTGCAAGGAAGAGTGAAAGGGAAAATTCCCAAAACAAGAACAGAAGGATTCTTAGATGGCAACAGGAAATGCTTTGAACTTATTTGTTCTGAAGGAAGTGTCCTAATGTAGGTTAACTATTGCACATAAATAATAGTAAGTATATATTCAAATTTGCAGGAAGATATTACTTTTAATTAACAGAGATAACAAATAACAGGTAATCAGAGTTGGAAGGGACCTTGTAGGTCATAATTTTTACCATATAGATACTATTCCAGTTTCTGTTCACCTAGGGCAGAGCTGTCAAATGTCACACACTGGCCACGCCCATGCCCAGTTTAGCGAAGGGGAAAAGTCGCAATACCTCATATGACACGGCCATGAGTTTGACACCCCTGGCCTCGGGGATTCATTAAAACATATGACCGGGGGCGGGATCAAAACCTGTGCATGCCGTGGTAGTTTTGGTACACAAGCCATATTGTACCCTACTAATTGAACGGATGGTCTGGGCAATAATAGATAGTTCCACTTGAGTCCGAGAGGCTTGCTGTGCTGAAAGTGCTTCCTTGTAATGAAGAATGGATGAATCTTGAGTTAGGAAAGTCTTTCGAGAAGAAATTAACAGACCATAATAATCTTACTCTTGAAACTAACACCTCCCCCCCCCCCAAAAAAAAAGTGGCTCGGTATATAATGCAAGCAGAAGATACACTAAC